TACATATATGAGGGTCAGGGAGTGGGGAGAGGACTAAGGGGGATATTTTTTATTAGCTATAAATGATATTTACAAAAAGTGATAAATTTCTGAAGGGGGGGGGAATTTCCCCTTGCCCCCCCCTGGCTACGCCTATGGGTTGATGCATCTAATGAAGGTATAGGAGGAGTTTTGTTGCAGATGATAGATAATGTGGAGAACCCTATTTTATTTTTATCGAGACGATTTAATAGCACTGAGAAAAATTACTCAACGATAGAAAGAGAGGCTCTAGCAGTGAAATTCGGGCTTACGAAATGTAAGGAATATCTGATAGGAAAAAGGTTTTTATTGTATACGGACCATAAGCCGTTGGTAGATTTATTTAAGAAAGAGAATAAGGAACTTATGATTTCACCTAGGCTGCAAAAATGGCTAATTTTAGTGGGTAATTTCGATTTTGAGATAAAATTCAGAGAAGGTAAACAAAATTGCTTACCGGACATTTTATCAAGATTGTTTAATAAAGATATTGAAGACAAAGAGCCAGTAATCAATAGTTTAGAATATATAGAAGAAGAAGAAAATGTAAATGGTAATATTATAAGAGCTGTGAGAATAGATACAAAAGAAAATCCTATAACATTTGAAAGAGTAGAAAAGATATCCCAGCAAGATGAAGAATTAATAAGAATTATAGCTTGTTTAAAAGGAGATATAGAATGGAAAAATGAAGATAAAGCGTTTAAAAAATTAAGAGTGAATTAAATATAGAAAACAATTGTTTATTGAGAGGATATAGATTAGTGATACCGAATAAATTAAGAAAGGAAACCTTAAATGCAATACATTCAGGTCATTAAGGCATAGAAAGAATGAAGAATAAAGCAAGAGAATATATGTGGTGGCCTAAGATGAATAAGGAAATAGAAGAGTTAGCGAGGAGCTGTGAAACCTGTAACATGTGGGCTAATGTTCCAGCAAAGAATAAGGAAGATAAATGGCCAAAGACAGACATTCCATGCGAAAGAATACATGTAGATTTTTTAGAATATGAGAAGAAAAGATATTTTATCATGGTAGATGCAGGTTCAAAATGGATAGATTGTCAACAAGTTTCAGGTTTATCAACAAGGGTAGCTTTAGACAAGATAAAGGATTTTGTAGGCAAATATGGATTAATGAAGACGATAGTATCAGATGGAGGTCAAGCTTTTAAAGGTAGAGCATTTGATAAATTTTGTGATAGGTGGAATATTAGACATTTATTATCACCACCTTATTACCCAAGAAGCAATGGACAAGCTGAGCGAATGGTAGCGTTAGTAAAGAGTTGGTTAAAAAAGGAAAAATATGGAGAAGGCCAATGGTGGTTATCATTGTTAGCATCCAACAGTACGGAAACAGCAAAAGGAAAGTCACCAGCTGAAATATTTTTAGGAAGAAAGACGAGATCAGAATTAGATTTTTTAAAGGAAAAAGTGATAAGGGAAAAACAAGTAGAGATTGAAAGATTTCCAGTAGGAAGTTTGGTTTGGGTATTGTTGTTTGATGGGCCTATTAAATGGGGGAAGGGTGTAATAAGCAAAAATATAGGAAAGAAAAAAGTAGAAGTAAAGATTGAAGGACAAGAAGGAACTTTTACAAGGCACCTGAAGCAAGTAAGGTGTAGAAGCTTAGGGCCTTAGAGAGAAATGAGAAATATACGAAGAATTAGAAGTAATAAATTGATGAAAGACATAATTATGAGAATCAGATTTGCTGATGAGTCATAATTAAGATAATCATAATTTAAAAAGGAATAAATTGATGATAGACACAGTAGGAGAATCATAATTTAGAAAAGAATAAATTGATGATAGACATAGTAGGAGAATCATAATTTAGAAAGGAATAAATTGATGATAGACATAGTAGGAGAATCATAATTTAGAAAAGAATAAATTGATGATAGACATAGTAGGAGAATCATAATTTAGAAAGGAACAAATTGATGATAGACATAGTAGGAGAATCATACGTTGTAGGAAATAAAAGGGATGATAGACTTAATTATGAGATTTATATTTTATAAAGAGTTAAGAAGAAATTAAAATGTAGTATAGAGAAATAGGAGTTAGAAGAATATATATATATGTTTATAAAGTATTTTATTTAGATGGCCTCGTATATTAGAGTTGGTAACAAAATAATAAGGATAGAAATAAGAGACATAGATGGTTCGGAAGAATCGAACAGATGGGTAGAAGCAGCAAGAAACGAGGCGAGACAAAGATACGGGGATTGGCTCAAGAGGGGGTCGCAGAACAGCACCGTATGGCACAAGAAGGAGAGTGGAATGCTGAGCGTGCGGGGGTGAACACAAACTACGGTTTTGTCCAAGTATGGAGTTGACCACAAATAGTAATTCGAGTGTACCAGGGAGGAAATGGTAGCATCGGCGAACACGATGGAGTTAAGGGAGAATTAAAGGGGGGAGATGTTGTATTATGCAAATAAATTTAGTTAAAAGATAGTTGTACTTATACTTGTTATATGCAAAATAAATTTTACATTTTTTTATAGTTTATGGAATAAAATTAATTTAAATTATGGATTTTTATTTTATGTGTTTATTTCTTCGAAAAATTATTATCTTAATTTGCAAATAATTATGATTTTTAATGGCTATCAAAAAATATATAAATAGCCAAGAAAAATAATTATAATTTACCGATGATATTTTGATTATTAATTCTTGACCTTTATTAAGTAAATAATCAGGTTCAGGTATCTCTTCTATAACATCATTCATGTTATCACTTTTTGCACTATCATACCCTTCTAAAAAATAAGGTAAATTCTATAATTTATAAAAGACAATAAACCTTCCAATTCTAATTTAATTTGATTACAAATATCCTGATCATCTAATATGCCATGGCAACTTGCATTATCATCATGTAAGGCATAAGATAGAAACATGGAATCTATCATCCTCTTCTTCATCACCAGATTCACATACTTCATCCTCTGATTTGAATCAAATGGCATTGTTTTGCCAAGGAAATTGGCTTGAATAAAACATTTTTATAATTGTACTTGTGACCTACCCCCAAGCAAATTTTATTAGGAAAAGGCTTCCTAGATATATCTAATTTATCAATAACTTCTGCTTTTGTTTAAGTGTCAATGTTTTAAATTTATTCAAAAAATATAACAATTTAAGCTTAAAATATAATTAATTACCATACCAATCATAGGCGTAGCCAGGGGGGGGCATGGGGAAATTCCCCCCCCCCCACCCCCCCCTCAGAAATTTATGACTTTTTGCGAATATCATTTTAAGCTAATAAAAGATAACCCCCTTAGTCCTTTCCCCACTCCCTGACTCCCAAAAATGTATGCATATATCTTAAACAATAATTTGAAAGAAAGAATGTAAAAGTTGATATTTTTTTAAACTAAAATTATTCATCATAATTTATACAATTTTGGAAAAAATCATTTATATATAAAAAAAAGTAAACCAAAAATGTTTTTAAAGAAATGGAATATAAGCCAAAGATAAGTCTTAAGACAAAAGTGAAATGTATTATAATTATTCTAATAGATCCATAAAATTACTAAATAATATAATATATAAAATATAATTTTTTATAAAGTGAGTAATTTTAATCAATTTATCCCAATAAAAGTAAAATATAATAATAAAACTATTGATAAAATTAAATCATAAATTAAATAAAAAAATTAAAATACAATACAAACAGTGGAATATTATATGTCGTAGATTTACAGTATACCTAATTTTATCAATTATCATATGACAATCAAATAATTTTTACCAATATAACGAATTATATATTTTATAGAAAACATAAAATATCTTTTAAAGACATTGTATGAATAATATAAAGATTAATTTTTAATATCAATCAGCTTTTAATAGATGGCGTTAATAATTGAATGCAAATTGTTGCTATATTTATTATCAAGAGCATTGATTAGTAAAATTTGTTAAAATATTAACTTTGATATATTCTCTAACGTCAAATATGTCTGTAAAAGGGGAATTTTACCTAGTATTTTGTGACCAATTCCATATAATAGAGGAATATCAACTATATGACTACTTACTTTTTATAAATAAATTTCTTATACTTGTTTGGAATAAATTAATGCCATGCTTTTATATTAATCTATATACAAATAATTTATTATATTATATATAAACTAATAAAAATATATTTCATATTTGTTCCAGGCTTATTTTTTATTAAAATATTTTACTATATATAGATTAAGGTATCCCTGCCGAAGGCCCGCCTATTTTGGGGTGGACGTTTAAATCCCATCCCCCATTTAGGAAAATCCTGGCTACGCCTATGATACCAATTGTAATTCAATAATAATTTTTTAAATATTTAGCCCTAATCTCCAATTTAAAAATCGTCGCTTCGCACTTATCCGATAAAAGACGTTGTTGACATATAAACAGGACTTAAAATTTTTAGCAATTAACCGATTTTTCGCAATGAACTCATTAACATTTAAAAATATATTTTAACATTATACCATTGTAGATTTTAAGGAAATGGCGCATTTATTCGAAAGTATTTGCACTTAAGCGGTTTTGACTGTATATATTTATTACATTTAGATAATAAATACAATTTATTACACCTACCTTCTTCAAATAATAGGAAGAAGCAAATGGTTCCTACCCCCTAACACCTCCCACCCCCACTCATGTAGACGCTGCTTTAAACTATATTAATTGATATATGAGGATATATGAGTATGCCTTTTATTTTTAGCACTGTTTAGATCTTTAAGTTATTGGCACAAGAACTTTCTTACGCTCACAAATCTTCTACCATTCCACATGCTATTTTATTCAAGCGAAAACATATTATAGCTGACATTCTAACATATCTTTTGATATACATGTTGTAAATCCGTCAAAAACATGTAGCGGGTGACAGATAATATTTCACATATTTATGACATGGTATTGCCTCATTGGGTGCGGTTGGATATTTAAATCACATAATTTCACATGAATTTCACACAGTTTTAATATATATTCGTTAACAGCCATAGACTAAAATAAAATCAACTATACAAAATAGCTTTGCAATATTATACATATAACACATTTATTATATTAAAATTTAAAATAAACAATATATTAATAATACCAGCTTCATATTTGGAAATCATTCTCTTACAAGTAGTTTGTATTTATATACTTTAATTTGCATCTCAATATCTTTCACTAGAATTATCATTCATCAATCGCTCGAACTTTAAACACATTAAAGTATAGCTATATAATATCACAATTTATTTATAATTTATTATATTTAGATAACATGATTGCTATTTCCCTCTGTTTATTTATTTTAGTAATTAACACTCACTCATCAATTATATATAATAATTTATTTCCTCTCCAAATTGTTGATAGTATATTTACTCATGTAATTTATAATATTTTTAAAAAGAACTTCTTGCCAATATTTGTTTAAACTAATTGCCACTATATCTATTTCTGCCTTCTCAATAAACTATTAATTTTTACAGAGGTACCACAATCCTCTACAATTAAATTGGCCCTAACAGAATAATAAATTACTCTCAAATAGTGGTCAAGAATTTACCAAACTGGTATTCTCTTTTGAGATGATGGAGTATCCATTTATTCATTTATTTGGTGCTTTCAGTGAAAATTATGATTACAATGTTCAAGTAGCAATGTTATTTTAAACTGCCATTAAATATTATTGGTAGATAAAAATAAGCAAATTTTGATGAATATTATTAACAGAGAATTGCTAAATTACTTTTTCAATTTCTAATGTTTATTTTTATTTATATAAATATAAATATTTTGTAGCAAATCATAAAAGTTTTTATATTATCTAATACAGAGTTGGGTAATTACATACCAAATCGATAACTCTCTGGACCAACCTTTTTAATTTTGATAAAATTTTGCATACTAAGAGGATATCATTAAAAAGCATCAAATCTAAAATTTTAGCCTCCTAGTACTCATGGTCAAAAGTGCCAAAAATGACCATTTTTTAAAAAATACAATTTTTTAAAATTTGAGATAAGTTAAAAAATAATGATGCTAAAAATAAAAATGATATGTTATTTTGTAACTGGCCTTAATTTTTTTTAAATAATATTGTTGCGGTTTTTATTTACATTATAAATTCTAAACATTAAAACTCTAGGTGTTTCGCTTTCCAATTTTTTTTAAGTTTAATATTTTCTTATTCACTAATATATCTATTCATAAAAAAATTTAAACTTGGGACAGCCATAGGTTTTTAGTTATTACGATTTAAAAAATTAAAAAATAACTATTTTTTTCAAAAATAGATGGCGCTTCTTTATAATATAACGCGTTTTGCTAAGATTATTATTTTTTAAAACTTTTTCCCATTTTTAAAAATAAAAATAAGATTTTCAGCATTAAAATCATGAAATGAGATTATTTAGCTGCGCTCATAATCATTTTTTTCTTGTAAAAAATTTTAATTTTCTTAAAATTATTTTATTATAATCTTGTAAATATAATAGATGAATTAAAATTCATGAAAGATTGATATTATCTTAGTTTTTTTGACGCCACGATAATTTTGTTTAAATTATATGTACATAACCGTTGATGGGCTAATTATTGTTTAAATATTAAATTTTGGTATGAGGGTATCATATGCTGCTGGATAAACAAAAAATTTGCTGGTCATTTTAGGGTGAAGAAAATTAATTTTTATTTCATCTCAAATTACATTCACTTCTTATACAAATCCTAACCACCAATCGTTTTCATACACACAGGTTACATATCCTCTAATCGCATCTATTAACAGATCCTCAATCAAAAGATCCTCACATGGATATACTATATTCTCAACAATAAATGTCTGCGAATTAGAATATATTTTAGTGTTGAGCTTAGTTAAACCAATCGGAAACACTGCGTGAGTTTTTTGTGTCCCAGGAATTGAGATAGATTTGCTAAATCTCTCACTTAGCCTTATCTCTTCTTCCTCAGGCTCTGATATGGTGGTATAAGAAAAATTTATACCTTTTATATGCTCTTTCGCATATTTATAAAATTGTTAAGGTGTATTTATTTGATTAATATAAGGTCTTTGTAAGCTTGCCTTGGCAACTAACTTTTTTACTGTGCCGCCTATGCCGTCGCAGGCACTTTTATCATGTGCCGTAGGAAAAAATGTCATTCTGCCTGAACACCAAAATCGATTTCATTGTAACAAACATTGATCAAGTTTTTCCTATTTTTATATTGTGTTGTTGAACCATCAGAGTAGTGAATTTTTTTTGGTGGTGTCGAATTTTTTTAAAAAAATGAATCAAATGCGGTTGGAATAAATGAAATAGTCTTATGAACTAAGGATTCCGATATTACCACAAAACTTAGGTTGTTTATTTGATCTCCTATAAATTGAAAATGGGTGCAACGTAATTTGCGAAGTTGTCCAATGATAACCCTGAACTACGTTTTGGACAATAAAGGAATAATTTTTCGAAAAGTTACAAATAATTAGATAGTGATTATTTTCTAAACTATTTTTGAGGTTATTGTGATGAATTTTGTTCTTCACAAATAAATAAATGGCGTATGAGGATATTCATTTTATCGAAAAAATAAATTCGTCTAAAGATTGAGAAATAGTCTCCAGAGTTTTTTATCCCGTAGCTCACTGTTTAAACGTAACAAGTGCTATATCACTTTTTTAAAATAATTTTCGATGAGTTCTTTTAAAAGTCCCGAGCCAGTAAACTCGTTGCAGTCATCAAAAATAATAGATGGGTAACGAGGGATTGCAAATCATTCTGCTTATAACATCTCTATGAGTTGTTAATATATCCTCACCATTTTTAATCAAAGTTGCTAATTCACATTCTAAAATCATAAGATTAATATTCTGGTATATGCTACAAACGCATACACGTATGTGTTCCGCTAACCCCTGTTAATATACAATTTTTTTGTCTTAAGCTAGCAAATTTCGAAAATCCAATTGTTATGTTCGAATTACTCTCCTTAAAATGATTATATATTTCTTTTAAATAACCTTTTTTGAGCGTTCACTCGTTCCTCCTTTTCAATGATAGATCTGCAATCTTTTTTTTCTGGTAATACCCTTCTATTAACTTCATCACTGCAAAAAAAATTTTAAACATTATCCACTCTTTTTTGATTGAGATATTTTGCAGGCTTTCGATTTGTTGAAAGAATCCACTTTTATTCTAAAATGATTTTGGAATTATATGCCATATGACATGTAGCGTTGAATTTCCGTTTTATTTTATTTGCGCTCCAATTAGGAGGCATGGTCAGCAATAGATATTTTTTATTTTTATATAAATTAGGATATTGTAATTTCATATTATTGAGTATATCATTATTGTCTTTTGTATCCGATTTTGGATTGTTAATTATTATATCTGAAATCGCTTTTGATATTTTTGCTTTTGGATAATTTTTTGCAGTTTTTTTTTCTTAATAGGAGAGATTCCAATTTCGTTTAAAGTTATATTGATCGTATCTATTAATGTGGATGCTCTGTTGTAAAAGAAATGTTAATTACCCATTTGGAAAACCTGTAGGAACCATATGCAGATGCTAATTCAAATGATTGCATAGATGAAATTAGTACTTTCATTAGAAAATTCTTCACAAAATGCGTTTTTTCTTAATAAATTTTTTTATTCAAATAATGATTCGATTAATTATTGTAATACTTATGTAAATTAAAATAAAATTTATTGAATATAAAACCTTTGCCATTAAGCGCTCTTGCGAAGCACTTGTTTAGTAAAGCTAAAAGTGTTCTTATTAAAAGAACGTGGATATTTGAATATAATAATTTAGAAATTTTTTTATTACTAAATGCTCGTTTTGATTATAAATAGACTAGCTGATAACCCATCAAAAATGACGGGGTTGACGGTATTAAATATATACTTCATTAATATATTTTATAATAATAAATTTCGGAAAAAAGATAAATTTGTGGATCACACCTTATAAGATATGCTTAATTTCTGATTCAAGGGAGAAAAGTATGATGTCCCGTCTTTACAATATATTGTGAGTTAGTCTCCCAGCATTAAGAAGAAAGTTAAAAAGATTTTGCCTAACCGCGAAATGGGCAATTTTAAATTGTAACTTAAATATTTTTGAACGTTCAGAATTTTCAAACCCTTCAGCAATCATATTAGAATCCCAACAAGGATCTCCATAAGGAAATAGTGAATTTAAATTAAGACTTAACGCGTTAAGGATTACGAAATTATTCCCATTAGATCTAGGATACACTTTTATATTTCGTTTAAAGGGAGGATCTCTATTTACATTTGTAAATATCATAACCACGTCATCAATTGTAGGTGAATTATACCGCCATGAAGAAGTTATTTTGAAAAATGTTACTTATTTTGAAATTATAAAACGTTACCGACTTTTTTAATATTTATATAAAGTAATTATAAGAACTTTTTTTAGAAATTTTTATATCTCTACCGCAATTTTTATATTTCTACCGCAATTTTTATATTTCACCTGCAAAATACCAAATTTCTACTGCAATTTGAAAATTATCATGATCCCTTTTTAAAAAATTCCATCCTATATTTCTATCCTTTTTTTGAAAAGATCATGATCGGGATTCGATCCTTTTAAAAGGATCGATTAACCAGCCTTATTAAAATATTTTATTTTATCTACAATATTTACTGACCTTTTGTCTTATCTTTTTTATAGTATATGTATATAGATTATTACGTGCATATGGATAATGATTCCTCAAAAAAATATAATATTTAAATTTATTATATATAATATAATTGATTTGCTTTACATATTATATCATTTAGTGTTGTTAAACAGCTCGGCTAAACCAATTTTTAGCCAAATTAGTTTAGCCAAAAAATGAACGCAAGCCTTGATATTTTTCTCTTCTCATAGATTACGGAAAGGCTTGGTAATCTATTAATGAAATTAGGAAGCTTGCATAATATTATTTTTGCAGAAATCTTAATTTAAAATCTGCTAAATCGAGCCGTTTAAAAACACTAGTCTCATGAGTGGAGTATACTATTTGTATTAACTCAATTTGAAGTTTATAAATTAGTAATAGTTTTTGATAATATAAGTTCACCTGAAATATTGGAGCGGAAATTTGTTTTAGTGAATATATGATTGCTTATTACTATGAATGGTAAAATTTTAGTTTTTTTTTCATCTTATATAAATTTATATATTGATTAAAATCAGAGATCTGCAGGCCTGGACTGGGCTGTATTTTAATTTGTTAAATATTAAAAAAAAAAAATTAAATACCTAGGTTGGTCTTAAGATTTTTTTTAAAAAAAATACGGACCATGCCTTATATTTTAAAACAGAATATCTTAAATCGTCATTATTAGCTATAAAAATTAAAAATAAATAGAATATATTTTTGAAAAATCCTGGGCGGGCCTGAAAATATAAAACCTAGGCTGGGCCGAGAAATATTTTTTAAAGAAATCCGGGCCGGTAATATAAAGATAAGTATCTTATTAAAAATGCCAAGATACGGACAAATATGAGTGAAAGTATAAATTGAGACTAGTTCAAAAGTTCTTATCAAAATTCTCTGAAATCCAAAATGCGAGTACTCTAAACATTTTCGAACACATTTCTGGTTAAATCAAATTTAAAATCGTCAAATGGTTTAAAATTTAGGTGAAAAATAAATAAATACAACCCGGACATTTTTCACTTGTTTTCCTTGTTTTAGATAGTAAATTTCTAAGTGTTATAATATCAGGCTGCAATTTTTTTACTTGAAGCTCGAAATATATTTAGCATTATTAATTAGACATGTGATAATACAGTGACCTAACTATAGGAGGGGAGTCTAATATATTTTTTATTTCTCTCTTTGTAAAAAAATTTTACGCCCCTTGTTTAAATCATTCTTCTATAAAAAAGAAAATGCAACGATTTTTAAAATTCGCTTTAATTTTGCTAAGACTCTAAATCATTTTTTACATTATGTAATTTTTATATTTTATTCTAAAATATTTAAAATAATGCTACTATATATATTATATCTTGTGTTGATTTAAATCAATTAAAACAGAAAACTGACTCTTTATTTTCTTCTAGTATAAGATAGGTAAAATTTTTTGATTTTTTAGACCATTTTTTAAAAAGTTTGCACCCCCACCCAGTGGCTCCTACACTTTCTGAGTGAATTAAGCAGAATAACCCCCCCCCCCCAAAAAAAAGTATTCCCCCCCCCCTCGAAAAAATGATAATTATTTTATGATTGTTTAAATAAATTTTTTTCCATTGATAATATGGTTAAATGCTTGAGAAATGAATCTTTCATGGTACTACGAAGTCTTGTTTTAATTAATTTAATTTTACTGACACTTTCGGCAGTACAGGTTGTAGGAAATGCAGCATAAAACACACCTATTTTAAAGCTAAAAAAATTTCTATATTAAATGATGAAAGTATATATACCTCTGCTTTTTGGATTGTAATGTTTGAAGTCTAGAACTTTCAAAATCAAAAGGTAGATATTTCTCTCCTTCGTAAAATCTTGTGCCTTTGAAAAAAGATCCAAAAATTCAGTGTTATTATCTATTAAATTAAAAAATAATTAAGACAATAATTTATAATATACTTCTCAAATTAATTAAGCAATCATTTGCTAATTGAATTTGATTTATTGCAAACCCTATATCCTTCAAAATGGTTTGCAATTTTGTACAAGCCAAACTTGTTATCAACAATATTTATTCAAAACACAAAGTGATAAGATAAAATCAAATTTTTCTATTCTAAAGACTATAGCACTAGCCATAGTGGAAGTGGCAGGATCTTCAGAATCCTTTAAATTTGTTAAAACTGCTCTCAAGGCATCATAAAGTAGAAAAAAATATACAATAGCTTTATATGACGATATCCAGCTTCTAAATGAAAAAACATTTTAAATCTAAATAAATTAGGTACTATTTCCGAGTGGTAGATTAGATGCGTAGAAATTGTTGCGATTTTTTCAGATCATTACACTGACATTTTTTGAGTACCTCATATCTTTTTACACCATTAAAATAGATATAAATCTCATCTAGTATTCCTAGAACATTTCGAAGTTCTTTAATTGATTGGCATAATTGAACAATAATTAAATTTAATCGATGACAATAACACCAAATAAAAGCTGCCTTTGGCGCCTCTGCTCTAGTCAAGACCTGCACACCATGGATTCTTCCACGCATGTTTGAGGCGTCATCATAACTTTGCCCAACTAGAAATTCAAGGGGTAAATTCATCGAGCCAATTTTGGATATTTTATTATGCTTAATATCGAGATCTGTGGTATTTCCCGTACAATATATGTCAATCAGACTTTCAACAGGCTTCAGCGTATCAGAATTTTTTTTATAACCATATTTTTCATGGTTTCAATGAGAATATTTATGTTATTAAATGCTAATAGATTTGAATATAATTTCGTTTTTATCCCTTTTTCTTTCTTCATTTTGTTGTATACATTTTTACTACAGGTTCAGAATCTGCAATAAGCTTAATAAGGGCCATCATATTGTATTCTTGTTGCCTATTCCCCCAGAAAGCTTGGTTACGAGATATTAAATAATCTAAACATCTTATTATAATTCTTATGATAGAACGGTTAAAGATTCATGCAGAATAATATCACTATTAATATTCTGCCATTTATCTAGACCTTCACATGTCCATTTTGAATTTGTGTGTGGACCTCCAAATAAGAGACATGTTAAGTAAAAACTTTATTCATTTTAATACGATAAGTAATCCAATTTCTAGCAATTTTGCTATTGTCAATATTAGTTTTTTCATAAAAGCTTTCATTAAAGGATCTGTTTTTATTATTATTATCTTAGGGGAATAAATAATGTGTAGGTTGAAGAGCTCCTAATTCTAGATTTTTATCAATTATAAATTTGTCAATTCTTTTTCCAACAATATTGATGGGATCATTTGATTTTTAAGAAAAGGGAGGGAGGGAAGATAAGATATTTAAATATAAATATGAATACTACTATCTATTCATATTATGCTTAAAAAAATAAGTAGAAAAAGTTTCGTCAATATATATTAAATTAAATATTAAGTTGGGGGGGGGCGGTCTTATTATTACATTTATAAACCAGAAATCACTTAATCATGATGGATGTAACAAAACAGTAAAAGAATTAAATAATAAAGAAAATTTAAATTTTAAAAAAAGTACCCCCACTCAAATTTACTGAAGCAGTTGCTTCAGACCCCCTCCCGTTATAGGGGCCACTGCCCCCACCCCCCTGTTCCAATAATTTGTGTTTAGTTTGACCTGTAACATGTATTTTTTTAAAAAAAATAATATTTAATTAACATATAGATTTTTAATATTATTATAGGTTATGACAACAAAGAAGCTAGGGATACGTTCTTCAAAAAGGGTTAAATATTCTGATTTAGATGAACAAATTCATAAAGATGATGATATCAAAGAAATAGATGCCACCTTCAATGTTGAACTTTTTAATTATTATCTTAAAGATCCTCAACTTACTTTTCAAGGTTATTAATAATTGTAGGAATATTGTTATTTTAATATCAATATATATATTTTCAATTTTTATATGTATAGGACTGGAAAAAATGATTCTATATTCACAAAAATTTGATATATCTCAATTTGCTCAAGATTATATATTAGAGACTAGAAATGAGTCTTATTTGCTTAATTTGTTACTTGATGCTAAACATAGAAAAAAGAGAGAAGTTTTATATAAAAAATTATTTAAAATAGATTTCATTCATTTTCCACTCAATTAGAAATAAATATTTTATTTTTTAAAGATTTATCTTGTCTTCACAGTTATGGAAAAGTTATTGTTACACGTAGCTTCATTTAATGACCAATCAGACCTAGATGCTTATCACAGAGTTAAGTCTTATGGAAATGTCTTGTCCAAAAATTTGTTAAGGAATCACAAATCAACCATATTTGACATAATGTTGAAAACTGATAGTGGGCATACACCATCTCAAATTGATAATTTATCTTCTGCCTTAAAATTGCTGGTTTCAATCGTGACTCAAAACAAATTTATAGCGAAGGAAGCCCTGATACAAATAAATTTTCAGAACAATAACTTTAACAATTTGCTATACGCTAGTTATCAAAAAGTTAAAAGTTTATTTTATGAAGAAAATATTACATAAGCCTTTCGATTTGGTCAAAAGGGGTACAAGCCTCTGCCGTCTAAATGCGAAATTTAGAAGCTTAGGTGATTATTTTTTGGCTAAAATCTTGATTTATAAAAGGGTCTAAATCAATATTTTGGACAACACTGATTAAATAATTTTGATGTTCACAAAAATAATTATTTTCTTTTATCAAGCAAGGCAAAATTTTGCTTTGAATATAATATGCAAAACCAGGGAAAATAAGAAAAATTACCCGATCGTGTAAAAATTATGTTAACCAATCTTGCAATTACTGGTTAAATACAATTGAGAATTAATCAATAGAACTTTTAGAATATTTTATTAAAATATATTTGGAGATAATTAAAAGGTAAAGCAAGTTATTTACATATAAAATTGTTGTTGGGGGAATTTTTTGGGATAATTATGTATGAAAATATGCCCCTAACTTTTATGTTATATTAAATAGCTAAGTATTGTTTAACATTTTAGAAAATTATCGTTAATATTTAAATGTCTAAATTCCTGAAAGGCTAACCCATGGCTCAAGCCTGGCCGTAGCATCATGGTTTAAATATTAGCCCTGTCCTAAGACCAAAATATTAATTATTATATTTCCCTAGATATTTCGGTCTAATTAGTTGGTCAAGGATATTTATCATTGGTGGAGAAATCATACTCATTTTTTAAACTTAAACAGACAAAAATTTTAAAAATGAATAATTGTTTAAGATATATATTAGATTCGCGGACTGGACCGTACTGCCTGAAAAAAATAATTGTACAAAACCATCATATATTGTATATATTTTAAAATAATCCCTAGATGAAATCGGTGAATTAATGACGTTTTTTAATTTGTAATAACTGGCTAATTAACAATTTTCTGGATAGAGTGGGCTGGATTTTTTTTTAACCTGATGCGAACAGAATAAATATAATTTTAAACATAATGAGATCAAGGCTGAACGCACTACTAATTTATTGCGACCCAGGTCACTCCTAACTGGAGCAGGTCTTTGCTTTCAATAAATTACATAATTATTATCTTTTTTTTCTAAAAACTAATCTCGAAAACTATAGCTCTAACTCATCTAATTTTTTTAATTTTACATTTTCAACACGAATAAGAAAGAGAATAGACAAATTAGGCCTATTTTAAAATGAATTGAATAGTAACAAATACGAATACTAAATTAAATTATTGGTTTGAAATTGTTAATATAATTAGTTTTGAAATGTTAAATAGGTTAAATATTATAAAAAATTATTACATATATTTTATCATTGATTATTTTTCCTTACGCAATTGTAAAAACGATTTTTCACATTTTTTGAATTTTATCTTTATGCACATTTTAGGATGTTTATCTCTTATTCTGAATCAATATTTTATACCCTAGAAATATAAATGAAATCGTAATTCATATTTAAAAATATATTTTGGTCCAAATTATTAGCTATCGAAATTTATATATATTTAAAAAAATTAAAAGAAATTTATTAGAATAGTTTTACTATATTTTTATAAAACTCTTTTAGTTCAAAATTATTTAATTTAAATATTAATATAATTTATGGACAATGCAAATCGAATACAAATTATCCAATATTCGATTTTAAATAGGTCCAGGGCGAATTGGAACAAGAAGAAGGTCCATGGAACATTGTGAAGATAATAGACATAAGGAAATGCTAAAAAAATATACTTACCAGATTTTATTGTTTTATTAAAGATAACAAATATTTAACAAAAACTTAAGGTATAATCATCACAAATAAGTTAAAAATCATTATTTGCACAAGAATCATCTGATCATTGGCAAATATAGTATCTTACCAGTCTTTATTCTGGCGATGTTCATACTTTTTAGTTTAAACATTTTAGTTCTATTTTTTCTCTAGTCCAATTTAGAAATCAGGAGTTGCTTAATACGGTTTTTCGCATCCTTTTATCTGGTTGGCGATTTTGAAATCATCAAAGAAATTTCCACTAAACACAGTACATTCAAATATTTTTATAAATTATTAACTTTTTTAATGGTTTTAATATTTATATGAAATTATAATTTTTCATTGATTAATGAAATAAATGTTGACTATGATATTTAAAATGGTCTATATTTGCATATTTCTAAATCAATAGGATTTATTCAATCCTTTTTCCCGGAACTTTACAAAGACACGGCTCAAAATATAATAATGCTCATATCCGTCCTACATCAAAAGCTCATCACTTTCAATTCTTACAAAATTGGCAACGACACATTAGAAGAAAATGTTAATAAGGAAAATTTTAACGGTGTTAGCAAAACTGTCAAAGTGAATATTTTTAACGTTTCGACTTTACTCCACCTAGGAATGCTTTATTTCTGGAAAGAAGACGGTGACTGGGATAAGATTGTTTATACTCACGAGGGCTACCCCAAAATGGTAAATTTTTGATATTATAAAATACCTTTTTTTCGTTTTACAAAACTTTTTAATAGTTTACATTTTTATCATAATATTACTACTAAAAATCTTTATTATATCATAATTGAATTTATTTAATGTTATTTAAGGAATTATTATTTGCCTTTATAGTTCATATAATTTTAAATTAACTATCAAATTTAATTTTGAACTCTATATCTCAATTAATGATGACATAGACGGCTCAAAATCAGGATGAAGAGTAAGACATAAATACTTTTCCAAAAATAACATCTCAATCGGGTCCAAAAGTATCTTGGACAAGCTTTGAGATTTATTAGATTCCAAGATGATAAAACTACATAACTTTTGTACCCATAATTCATTCTTTATTTAAAATATCCCCGGCCCTAAATGAGGCAAGAAAAAAATGTTCTAAAATATTTTAATTAAAAAATAACTATCTGTTACCTCTGCCTAACCATGATATAGCTAAATCGAGTTCGAGACAAACCACGCTTTGTATGATGATCCATCGAAAACTATTATTTATTATATAATATCTCACCTCCATCAAGTGCTTCAATATAAAGATTATATTTTGTATAAGGAAACTTATTTTCTGATAAAAACTAGCACCTATTTTAAATGTTGATTACAAATAAAGATCCAAATTTTATGAAAAAATTAATTGCACTATTTATATTATAATATTGTTTTATTAATATTTTCATTTAAAATTATTTGATAAATATCAATTATTTAGGATTGTATTTTGTTTTGTTTAATTAAATATTATGTTGAAGAGATTTGTGGGTATAGATTATTTACTTTATTATATTATAAATTTATGGAGTTTTTGAAAATGTATTGTGATCTCAAAATTAACCTTGACAGCACTATTAAAAATCAAATTTTTTTTGTATACTTCTTATTCTACGAATTTTATAAATTATTAAAATCTAAAATAAACTTTAATATTTCAGAATGAAGAAACGATAGTTCAATCTGAGGAGATTATCGAACCCGAGCTTACTAAAAATGTCCGAGATTGCGTTCATTCATTTATGATAGACTTGCTTACTTCGCACAAATATGGAATCATATTTAAGCGAAAACATTCATCAAATATTTATACTAGGCAAGATTAATATAAAAACTATTATTATATGTTGATAAAAATTAAATTTTGATATTTTTTAATCCAGTCCTGCACAAATTTTCGGCCCGAGTCTCTCTTATATTTTTATTTTAGATCCGAGCCAGACTTGGCGACAAATTCTGATAAATTATAGTTGTCATTTTACTTTGATAAAACAAGTTATTTTTTTTACCATTTTGTATATATTTTTCAAGCCAGAGCCCGATTCGCTTTTAAAATTTTTATACCTGAGCCTGGTTTGACTCGAAATATTTTAAAAAAAATTTAGCCTAGGTCTCGGACCAACTAGTAGGGCTCTATTTAGATCTTTAGTAGATTTTAAACTAAAATTAGTTTAAAAAAAACAATCTATAAAGATCGATAATATCACAAGATAGTTCAATAACAATGCTTATTATTTATTGTATAATTATTTTATCTTTACAAAAAAATTAAAATAATTTTAATCTTTACAAAATATTGCATTTCTTTCTTTTATAGAAATTCTAACCATTATATGACACTGTTTTTACGACATTTTCCACCTCCTTTTTGGTTTACTAACATTCATATTTTGAAACGATCTACCGATCTAATAGTTGGAATAATTAGAGCGTGTCCCGAACAATTTCCCATATATTTGCAAAATTTACAGAAAGATTTAGAACCCAAGATTAACCTCAGATGGAATCGTTGTTTCAACTTTATACAATTGGTTAGTTACTATACATTATGAATGAATTTTTTTGAAGGGAATATGATATTGAATCTTTTCTATTTCCATACATTTTCTTTTAATGTTTAATAAAAATGAAAATTAATTAATTTCATATGACTTTCTTACAATTTTCATACATATTTACCAAATATTAGCTCTACGACAGTCTACCTGATCCAAAACCCTATAAATATACACAAAATTCACTTTCAGCCCTTGTGGATTACTCTATACCAGATATCATAAAATGTCACGTGCTTAACTTTTTAACTCCTACCTCTTTATCACATGACCCAGAGGCCCTAGTGGTTAAGCCCTTGTTAGCATTTCTAGATTCCAGTTTGATTAGGGCTTTGAAAGTTTTAGAAAATCTAGAACTTAGTGAGTTTAAAGATGAATACGAAACGAAGGGACATAAGGAAGAAGGAACAGGTGAAAATATCAGGGAGGAAAGTGTGCCTTTGGGAAATTTATACGTTCAGAGATTGTGCCAGGTTAATTATATATACGTTACAATATTCCGAATCTTTATTTGTTTTCCTTTTAATTATTATCATATGCCTATTTTTTTGTGTTATAATGCCAAATTTGTAGTGTTATCAAATTTTATTTTAAATACCATTATATGCATAAGAATCACTTATATTTTATGTAATTGTTAAATTACATTTTTTAAAAATAGAGTTTTTATACAATAAAATTTTTAATATTATGATCTGTATAAAATATCTCCATTTAGAAATTTATTTTAAATAATAAAAATAAATACATCATTAAATAAAGGAATGTTATTTATGCTAAAGTATTTTTATATAATAAATAAAATCTATTATGTAATAAATAAAATCTATTATGTAATATTCTCTAAAATTTTGTTATATGCAAATATTTAAAATAATTTTAACATAGCTTAAGATATAACCAATTGAGTATTCAATCGAATAGTTGATTCGTTTTTAAGTAGGCCTACTCTAAATATAAGCTTTAGACTAAATAAAAGTTTTACAGAAGCGCTTTATGTAGTTGAGTTGAGGCTTTATATTTAACTAAAAGTAATTTCGAATATGGGAAATCGTCATATGAAGATGTAAGAGATATATATTTAACATTTTTAAGAATTAACTAGTTATTTTGGTAGTTACATTTCAAGAAATATACTAGTTACATCATCTTTTCAATTGTAACTAGTTACATTTATTTTTCCAAAAAAATGTATAACAAGTTAATTATCACTACCAATTTGTTATATATTTTTAAAGTAATTACAATTAAAATTTAATAACTCGGTTAAATAATGTTCATTTATTGAATTGTATATAAATTTTTAATTATTTAACCTTAAACCTTAAAATTATCAGATATTCCCAGATCTAAGCATCCTCTTAAATCTCTTCAACTTCATAACCCCATCTCTATCTCAGAAATCCACCTGGTCACCTCTTATAGCTTTACTTTTGCGTATATTTGTTTCGGCCAGTCGAGCCTTATGTTATCTATTCAATGCAGATATCGCAGTGAAAAGTCGCGTTATTAGACGGACCTTTGTCAAATTTTTGGATTATTGCGTTAAACAGCTAGGCACTCTAGCCAATTTTTACAACCCAATTAGTGTGGATAAAAAGGATCTTAAGATTGGAGAACTTACATTATTGTTGGATTGGATAAGTATAACCGTAGAAGTTCTCGAAAAGTGCCATTACTTTGTTGGTGTTTTATCATATTCCATATTTAAATTTCCTAATCTATTTCTTGATGCTAATAATTCTGTCGATGAAAATGATCATAATATAAACGATAGTCTAGAATCTAGAAATAGTAAGAAAAACACTTTAACAACTTGTAAAAGTCATAAGAATATGATCAAAACTCCAGTTCATGAATTAGTAAGGATTATTCTATCAACATGTTATCAAATCTTTAAGACTAAAAATATTAAATTTTTTGATTATATTAACAAAAAGTTAAACACACAGAAAATTATGTCTCAAGCATTTGAAGATATGTCTCATTACAAATCCTTGTGGATTCTTGAAACCTTTTTTACTGCCTTATTTCACACTGAAAAAACTGAGTTAGAAGAAAGGAAATATGTTTTAAAGGCGATGAAGAATAATGAAACGAATTTCGACGTTGACAAAATCATTGATCATTATCTCGTACCTGCAGTGACTAGTTATTGTGTTGATACTATAATGAGACCTGAAGCCAATTCAGAAATATCACTTGGTGATTTTTTGGCAAAAATTCCCTTGAAGGACAATTTTGAATATAACTTTTTGCAACAAAATTTGCGAAGATTCTACAATAAACCGGCTAAATTTTTGATGGATGCTTTAATGGATGTTGAATGCATTGATAAGCCCAGTATTGGAATGTGAAAATATTCATTGGGATATGATTTTAATGCACGATATCATTAGCATGTGTTTTAAATGGGTTATATACAATTTTTAATTATTATGTATATAAAACCATTTTAACAACATACTATATCATACTCGTGTATCACAAAATCATCTTTCACTTAATATTTTTTTTAATTATTATAATTAAACTTCTAGCTAAATTTAGATATTCTAAGATGCAAACTTTATTTGTTTTTTTTTATTAAATCAAGACGAGACCGTTTCGGACCAATTATCTATTAAGTCCGTCATTATTAACGACACCTTATTAGATCAAACTATAACTCTTAGGAAAAAACACCCAAACAATTTATCAGCCGTCAAGCTCCATCATGACACTCTTCAAATGGCCTACACTTTAGCTTCTCATCTTATCAGCCACTTACCCCCATCAAATGTGCGGTTACCAGATATATTACATTTTATCGAAAATAAATTAACCAAAATAATAGTCTCAAAGGACGAAATCGGAGGTTCTAAAAAAGCTCTTCAAATTATAAAATGGCGACAAATGGGAAGGATGCTAACTAACCAATCTTACATATCAAGGGCCCATCTGTTAGCACAGCTTATCTGTTTTTATAGCCCTGTTCTCACTCTCGATAATAGTGAAATTTTGGGCCTAATTTACAATTTATGTCCAAGCAATGAGTCTCGAAATGTTATTTTTAAGTAATTACTTTAAATAATTGATTACTTTATGAAAAATATTTATAATTTTAATTTTTATAATTAGAATAAAAATATCAAAATAAAATATATTTAAAAAAATAATAATATACATTATATGAAAAAAAAAATATATATAAATTTTATATAAAATACATTTAATAAAACATTAAAAAGATTATACATCTAGTAGTATAATAATTTTAAAAAAAAGGAAATATATAATAAAATATTGGAGAATATGTTTGTGACGGTGTTATAAAAAGTATTGAGGTTAGGAATGATCATCTTGTGGAATGAGACTGCCTATGAAGCTAATATAATTAGCCTTGTGTATTGCGATGGCGAGCCTTTGCCTTAAGAAGAAGCCCTCGCGGGGTTCACCGGTTAGTTGACGGATGTGGGAGCCGAGTTTCTTGAAAAAGGATAAGGCATATTTCCCAAAAGTAGTAAGGGTAGTGGAAATGATGGAGATGAAAATATATTCTTGAGAGATTTCAGAATATTTCGCTATTTTGAGTGACTCCTTTTTCTCAAGTATATTAACTGTTTGATTTGATGGAGCGAGTGGATCAATGCAAGAGTAGTCCCAGACCAGGAATTGACCGCGCTTCCAAGGAATTTGCGAAATTTAGTCAGGCCGTTTCCCATCAGATCTGAAAAGACCAGAAGGTTCAAGAGTGGAGGGGATTTGAGCGGATCTAATAACTCTAAGGATGATAGAATTGCATAGATTATGTCTTACAATTCGACCTTTACATGAGCGACAATGAAGACTATGTCTACCATTGCCCAAAATTGCAGAACCGCAACCTGAACATATGTGGGTTTAAGTAATAAGACAATTTAATCGAATACCAATCGCGTGAGTAAGCTCGTTTTTATTCAGTTGTAATTGCAGATTAACAGACTGAATAGCGTCGAGAAACTCATGGCCTGAACCATTAAGCAGAGAAAAGAATAAGGGACAGTCAGATAATTAAGTACTTCAACCTATGGGCATTACTTTTTTTGTTAATCCAAGGTTCTTAGGAGGAAAACAAATCTATATCTTTTAAAATAAAGTGATCATAAAAATCAGAGATGTTATTGGTATCAGCTGGTATCATTCGGTATTACCCGATATCTTTAATTTTTCCCAATATTAAACGATTTTTTTTCAATTGTTATTTAGAAATATATCTTAGTAATTCTTTTAATTTATTATATTATATCAGTCATTTCATATTCAGATGGCTTAATGGGTCTGTTCGCAGCCCATGGGCCTGCGCCTAATATTATATTGTATGGGAAACCTAAAATACACTTGGGAAATTTTTTTGAAACTTATTATGGGCTTGGGCCGGGCTAGGGAATTTTTAAACTATTAATTATGGACCGGGCCTAAAAAAAATTTTGACTTCGAGCCTGCTCCGGGATTGATCAAAAAATTAAAACTTATGAAGGTCTCTGATCATAATAGGAAAAAAATATTTTTATAATCCTTCTAGCTGGCCCCTTTCACAATCCGTGAAATAAAAGAAAAAATAAGATTGCTAATTCATGCAAAAGAATTTCATAAGACATTATATTATTTATTATAGTAAAATATTTATATTAAATATTTGATTAAACGTTTAAATATTTTGAAACAAGCTGGATTCGAACCTAAACCCGAATGGAAAGATATACACTATGCAAGCACATTTATACTAATCTTGTGTTTTTTCTCAATAAAAATTGTTTATTTATTATAAGTATCTGGGGTTTTGGCCAAAAAATCCTTAAGGTGCATTGACAATAAAAATGGTATCAGTTTATCTCGACAAATATTAATTATTATAATATTTAATTAAAATCAAGACCCCCATATCTCTGGAGCCACAAAGGAGCTAAAATCATACTTTCATCTCTCTTAAATAAACAGCCCGACGCGCATTCCTTGTGGGAGCACAAGGAGATTCACGAGCAGATATTCGAAATTCTACGCTCTGACTGGTTAAAATGCTCAACCCTTAATTTCCCCTCCAAAATTCCTCTAACTTACGAATCTATTATTTTTGAAAATGAGCTGGATATCAGTTCGCATTCTATTTACGATCCCAGATATCTTTTGCCCCTCTTTTATCATGTTACCTCTTCAGGTTTGTCAAGTGCATTTTTAAAAACTATTATATATTGTCTATTATCGAATTTATTGGTATATTATACAATGAAGGATAGTAATAAAATGAATTTTATTAAAAATTTTATTTTTTTAAAATATAAACCTTAAAATGATTTTGGAAAAAATTGGTTATTTTTTTGACATAAATTTACCTTTTATATAATTTTATTGTAAAATAACATGTTTTGAAAAATCATATCAATATCACTGTAATCAAATTGTAACAGTATGACAATGAAATTTCAATTGGCCACAATTATAAAATATCTTCTTCATAATTATTTTATATTAGATGTTTTTTCTCCAGTATTTTATTTGAAATTGCCAGTATTTTTAAAATTATTTTATCAGTATAATATCAAAGTCCTTAGTATTTTATTAATTTTACCAGTATAGATAATATACCATTACCTTATTATTTAAAAATTTCAAATATTTTTCAGTATTTTTAGTAGATTTATATATTTTCGATTTTTTATAAATTTATTTTTCTCCCATTATTTTAATTACATTACCATTAAATAAAATACATTGTTTAATATTATCAATCTGCGAGTAAAATAAATTCATTATTTTAATTATTTAAAATGTGACACCGTTTGGTCTTTTTGAATTAAATTTATTAGATATTATGTCCGAGTTTATTTCTTGGCAAAAACAAACCAGACAAATTTTATTTTACGCCACGGATTTTTTTATTTGAAATCTAAAAATTATTTATGATTTTACATATATTTTTTAATTTTTTTTAAATCGCGATTTTATTCATACATATTAATTTGACAAATTCATTATATAAAAAATGTTTAATTTTAAAAAAGGTGGTGAATATTAAAAAAACACATTAATAAAATTGTATTATAAAAAACAGGGATGTGAACCCGGGTTTGGGTTCAGTGAAAAATCTCTAAACCTAGTTCGGGTTCAGGGTTCGGAGACCAGAAAAATAATGACTTTTTAAAATTTAATTAGATTTGCCATAAAAATAATTTATCATCATAATTATAATATATTCGTAATTTTGTACTTCTCTTTCTCTTACTATCAATTTCATAATTCACAAACAACAATAATCATCATTTACAAAAAAAAACTTAAAATCTGCTTTGCTGCTGGGTAAATTTTAAAAATTTGTAAAAATGGCCGACTCTTGAATAACAAAAATGATTCCATAATAAAAAAAATATAATTACATGTTTTTTATATATTATTTTTAACATATAATTTAAAATAAATAAAATGAAAGTTTAAAATAAAAAAATGAATTTTTTCTTGGGCCCTGTGAACCCTAAATTTTAATTTGGGTTCAGCTAAATCGAGGGTTCAGGGTTTGGGTTCTCTCATCCCTGATAAAAAAATTAACTAGGATACATTTTTTTTAAATTGTATATAAATATTAAATCATAGATTTTTTTAAATTACATTTTTGCCATCGGTACGGTTATAGTATGTCAGGGTTGCCAGTCAAAATTTTTAAATTGCGGGAGAAATTTGGTATTTTGCGGGAAAAATATGAAAATTGCGGTAGAAATATAAAAATTACAAAAAAAAATTTTTTGCGGGTTATATTTTTCGCTTATTATTAATAATTACTTTATATAATACAAAGTCGGTAATAGGTTACTATTTTTCAAAATAGGTAATTATAGTACGAGACAAAAAATTTTTAAATACTATCTTTATTATTAAAATAACATCTTGTCTTGATTTATTAAAATATTTTAATTTTATATAAAAAACAATGATCTTTTTTAAATAAGAATGTAAACAAGATAAAATTTTATAAAAAAAAACGATTTTAATTACAATGTAAAAAATATATATTTATTTTTTGCGAATGATAAATAAAATTTTATTTAAAAAAAATATGGAAAATTAAATAGTGTTATAATGTTAATTATATTTATTTGAGATTTAAATAATGGAAATAAACGTTTACCGTCGTTATTGAGATATTTATAAAATTCCTATGTTTAACCATAAACTCAGCCTCTAATGTTGTTAGAGCAATCCAATTTCCCTCCTTTCTCCAGGCAGTCCTCATCAGGCTAAAAATGCGCTCCGATGAGGTATTAAAATGAGGTAAGGAGAGAACATACTCGCATATTTTTCCCAAGCATGGGGATTTATCGTAATTACGGACCACCCATTTCTCCTCTGCTTTTATACCATCTAACTTTAAGTATTCTAGCGAATCATAAAAAATAGAGAGAATTGCAATCTCCTCAAACAAAACAACAATATCTATCAGTATTTTTAATATATTTATTAAATTACAAAAACCATAATATCTAAAAATTTGTAAATAGAGTTATTAAAATCAAATTTTGACTGCAAATATTCTAAAATTGTCTTAATTAAAAATACATTAATTAGAGTATTATTTAAACATATTAATATAATATTTTTAGCAATAGCGCCATAAAATTTATTATCAATTTTTAACTGTAAAGATGAACACAGCTGCAACATAATTTTGTAAATCTTCATTAATTAATATTATTCTGATTGCAATTGAATATTAACAGCATCTAGTGGATTTTCTATGTGAAACCATTCCTAAATATTCTTCTACCTTTTCATCCTCGAAAAATTTTTTCAAAATTTTAGGTATTTTTTTAAAAGGTTCGTAAAATTTTAAAATTCTATCGATGGCAGGTAATAATGATAACCATCTGATAGGGACATGTCGCAACAACTCACACCATTCCAAATCAGACTACTCCACCAACTCTTTTAATTCATTAACTCAGTTGATGAACTAAATTCGTTATAATATTTTATCACAATTATTTCGACATCCATAGATAATACATTCATTGCCTTCTTGCAAGAATTATGTAGTATATGACATATACAGCCAATTGGTATTAAGTTATTATTGTGCTGCCTCAATTCGGTAAATACACTTTGATTTTTGCCAAAATTCACAGAGGCATTATCAGCGCAGAAAGCTGATATGCAACTCATTACCCTGATCAGCTATATTTAACATTATGTGGTTGGCTATATCGTTGTATTTTTCACTATCCGAGGAAAAATTTTTTTAACAGTTTTATTGAAATGCCTTATTCTTGTTGAAATAGCGAAGAATCTAGGGAAAAGTTTTAATATTTCCCATATTGGATGCATCTGCTAATTATGGATGTCAAACTTTCAAAATCGCCTAGAAATGACCTCTTAGATTCAGGTCCTAAAACATTTGTGATATCATTGCTCATTAAGATTCGACCCACATTATGATGATAGATAGCCCGTAACTGTAGTTGCATCTGTATTATTAATAATGTGATTGAACTTTAATAAATAAAATAATTATTAGTAACATTGAGATAAGTGTAATATTATTTTATTATGTATTTAATTTAACATGAACGTGATAATTAATCGCCAAGCCCTATGATGTATACACAAACACACTGAAAATAATAAAATATGAATGAAATGAATGATGTTGATTTATTATTGGATAAAAATAAAACAGGATAGAAAGAAATTTACAAACTAGACATGTTTTTCGAAAAAAATATTTAAAATTTATTTTAAAAATATAAAAATATTCAATTACTGTTTCAAAATTATTATTTATATATTAAAAACGTTAAAATGCTATAAAAAAAATTGCGGGAGAAATTAAAAAATTGCGGTAGTTTTGCGGGAGTGAGATGTCTGCGTGTAAAATAAAAAATGCTGGAGTCGCCCGCTGATAGGGGGAAACATGGTTATATGTATTTATATTATAAACTAAAAATACTTTTTTTTAAAAAAAAAATATAATATTTTCTACTTCGCAAACTCTAATTTATCGATTTGAATGAAAAAACAGAGTTATTTGACTATTAACCCTTTTATATACAACACCCAAAGATTAGTACCCTTTTATATACACACCCAAAGATTAGTAGAGTGCCAATAAAAAGTTGTACAGAATTTGGTTTCATTTAACCTTTTGGTCGTTGTAACATGAGTGACCGGCGTTGGCCAGAGGCGCTATCACGCTCGTTGGGATCTGCTCCAAATATCTCACGAATTGGCTCCAATCAAACTCTTGTAATCAACTAAATCGTCTGTGTCCTTCGCACCGCAGCTATAGACACGAAGCCTTTGCGATCGTAGTCGAGCGATGGGCAGGTCAAATTGAGATTGGCGTGAGGATAATTGATCAAATTTAGCCCGAATACCGAGTCGACGCGTTTTTACTGGGACCAATCTCCTTCATAACGTATGGCAAGAAATACTTTCCGCTCATGGTATCAGAACGACATCTTGAACTTTAGAAACAGTGCTTTTCTTGGAAGTGTTATTAGAACTTGTTGGCGATAATTCAATAAAAGTTTCATAAGTTGGGGAAAATGGCCATCTTATAGAGGTTGAGTTTGGAGAACTTGAAAGTTGACAAGGGCTTTTTGGTAGCGAGTTAGGCTAAATTATCTAAGTTTTTCGGGCAGGGGTTTTGACACTTAGTTTTGCCGAAACGGAGCGGTAAATGAAGTGCCACGCTTTGGTACCCCAAATAAGCGAACGTTTGAAGTGTACCTATATCGTACCACGTGATGGCGGTGTAAGATTTGCCATATAAAATATTAGCAAGGGTAGTGATGATATGGCATTGAAGAATTGATTTTGCCTGATAAGTTATGACGTGTACAAGACAGCTGAAGCCAAGGTTCACGAAACTCTTGAATAGGTTCCAGGGACAAATCCTTAACATGTAATAGTGTCGGGATATTGTGTTTATAAACATCAAGATGTCGCCTGCCGGTGAAGTCTTTGGCTTTTGAATTCGCTATTTTTGGGTTTTAAAATAATTCTGTAGAACTTTGGTAATATATTAGTCATATTTTGATAACAATAATGGAAAAAATAATCTAGGTCTTGGGGGGGATCAAGATTTAGCAACACTTTTTAAATAATTTTTTTTTTGATATGGGTATCAAATAAAAGGTAATTAAAATATTTTTTTAATAATAATCACTAGGTCTTGGGTCAGGAATATTTTTGTCAACACAAAATATCGATTAGGGTATCAAATTAAAACTAATTTAAATATCTTTTGATTGAAAGTATTCATTTTCTGAATACCTTTTATTTAATTCCTATATCAATATTTTGTGTTTATATAAATATTCCTGACCACCAATGGCGTAGCTATGAATTTTCCTTAGGTTCATATATATAAAAGCCTGGGAGGATTCGCTTCCCAATCCCCCTTATACGGGCATTGGGCCCTTTTGCCCGGTTTTCGGCCGGGTTTATTTTATAAATCATAACCATATCTTCGATATTATATAATAAATATATTTTTTAAATGCATCAATAATATGTTATTATAATTTAGTAGATTATTCTTCCAGAATAATTTCAATAGTAATATAATATCCTTCCACAAACATCATAACCAGAAAAATATAAATATTAATGGTATTTATTTGATATAAAGTCACTTATAAGTCTTTTGAACGTATAATCTAAAAATAAATTTTGCTCTGGGAGGGGCCCAAACCCGAAAACCACTCCCTTAGCTACGCCACTGCTGACCACCTAAGATTTCTCGCCTACTTAGAGTATAATTATTACAATCAAGAGATTTTTAAACTAGCTTTTATTTGATACCCTTATAGATATTTTGTGTTGAAAAAAATATTCCTGACCCCCCCCCCTCGGTATGAGGGATTATTATTATTATTACAATAAAAAAAATATACCTTTTATTTGATACCTATATCAAAAAAAAAATACTTTTTACACCCCTCCCCCCTCCAGATCAAGTCATACCTATCAAGACAAAAAATGAATAATTTCAATCTAAAGATATTTTAATTATCAAAAAAATATTATTTTTCCCTCCTCCCCCTCTATCCACCCCAGACCAAGTCATACCCATCAAGACCAAGAATGAAGACTTGTCAAAAGATATTAAAATTAGCTATTATTTATACCCATATCGATATTTTGTTTTGATAAAAATATTCCTGACCCCCCAGACCTAGACTCGCCCATTAATGGGGAGAGATTGACCTCCAGTTGAATATATTTTTTTGATTAGCTATCGATTGATACCCTATATTAGACATATTTTATTTCATAAGGCCAAAAAAAACAACATTGAAAATTAATAAACAATAAAATTAAAAAGAAATAAAACGAAATAAAACGAAACGCACGTAAAACGCTTTTTAAAATAATATTCCTCTTTATCACGATCAAAATGTGATAATACCATATTATCATTCCTTAACTTAAAACCCTAATTTTTTAGTTATCCCTTTAAACCCCGTGATGATCCCGGATAGTTCCGATCCCTTTAAAAATTACGACACATATTTTAAAATATAATAAGAAATAATAATTTACATAGTAATTTAATTTTGTAAGAAAATATTATATTTTAATATTGTAATCTCATTTGAATTTTCTGAAATTGGCATCTTATATTTTTTTTTTATATAAATAGAGAAAAGATAAAAATATATTTAAAATATTAGTAGGTATAAATTTATATTATTCTTAATTTTTGTATTTTATTTTTGGTTTAATTAGTTTCATGTTCAATTTTATATTCGTGTGGGTTTATAAGATGAATATGAGGTATATTTTCCAATGAATAATCATTTTCAACTGTAATATTTCAAAATAACTGGGCATTTTTCAGCATTATTAATGTACACTGTTTCTTTTAAAATTTATAATAGTTTTATAATAATTGTAGGAATAGTCTTCATGAAAATTTTTAGCGTGCTTATTTAACGGAAGAACAAATATAAAAAAATAAATTTATCAAAAATATTTAAAATGGTAAAAAGTAAATTTTATAAAATGTATTAAAATAACAAAATGAAAATCGTTTGATTCGAAATTACAAACAATATATATACTACCTAAATATAAATTTATTTGAACATAACTTTAGTTTCAACGTTATAAATAATAATAATATCAAGGAACAAACTAGGATTATGTAATAACATTTCCTGAGTTGGAAATTTTTCAATTATAGTCCCTACTGTTTTTTTTAAGATGAATTAAATATAAAAATGATAATATTTATAAAAATAAATATGAATATTTTTTGAAGTAGTCTTTGGATTAAGGTCTTCAACCAATTTTAAAATAAGCCCTTGTAATCATTGATTTGGATAAATACTTTTTTGAAAATCTATATTCAGATACAAATTTTAAAATCAATAGTATTTTATTAACATAGAAAATTTCCATTTTGTTATTTTTGTTTGGGTTAGACTGATATAAACGTACCGAACAGAATAGTGTTATAATATTCATATTTAATTATATATATCTTTTTAACCTTAGTGGCGTGTGGGTTGGAAATACCCCCCCCCCTTATGGTAAATATAAATTGGTTAAATGATTTGTTTTCATAATATCTATTGAAATCTAGATGGAAATAATCTCCCTCTTTCTAGAAAAAAATTGTTTTCACTTTTTTTCAATTTTAAATTATAACCAAAATTTCTATTTCTATAAAAATCTATCATGTTTTATTTCCAAGATGTCACAAATCTATACTTTTTATGCTATCTACTAAATTAGTATCAAAGCTACCAACCGATTTATCAATTCTAATATTTTAAGATTGCCCTATATCGCTTAGAATTAAAACAGAAATAAGGCTCAAAAAAATCCTCAAATCGAGAAACTCAACTTTCATAAAATACTGAATATAATTTTTTAGAAATATTTTCTTTATCTTAGCGGCAGGATTATTTTTGAAATTTAATAAAAAATTATTCGGGTAATTTATTTTCCCCTATATTTAATTTAAAATAAAAAAATGGGGAATTTATTTACGGGGAATAATTTTCTATGGGAATTTTTCCTGTAATTATTTTCCTAGGATTTTTTTTCCGGGGAATTATTTTCCATGGGATATTTTTTCCTGGGATTTTTTTTCCGCGTAATTTTTTCCCGGGGAATTATTTTCCGTTTACCATCTGAACCCCAAGTCTAAACCATGGGTCTGAACCCCCGGGTCTGTGCTCGAGATTCGTGCTCAGAGCAAGCCCGAGCCCCAAATTGGGTCGTAAAATTTACAACCAAGCAAATTAACAACACTACTTTTGAAGGTTAATGTTAAAGCTCTTCTTTATAAAGTCTTAGGGTCTAGCCAATGGCCTGTGATTCCCAAATAAGCTAAAACATTGATATCAGATCAATTTATAAATATAAATAATTTTTGCCTTCTATTATGTGAAATATCTGCCGTGGTACATATATAGGATATCTATGTCAACTCTGCTATTAGAGCATCTTTCATCACTTCAAAGTTATCTGCTATCTTATTAGTGTCTAATGACATAAAATTGTTGTACCAGGGTATAAGTTTTAATCATCATGGTATATGATTGATTATCAGCTAGTATCCGAGAAGTATTGGCATGTGTAATATTATTAATCAATTTAGCTTGAATTGAATTGATCTTTTTATATAAGTCTCCCTTATACTAGAATTATTACTATGTTTTTCTATCTCCTTAAAACTATTGGCATGAATATTCTTATAAAATAAATATTAGAAATTTAAAAATGAAAATTACCTTTAGGTGTTTTTTGAAATTATAGCTACACTTGAGGAATATATTTTTTTTACATCTTAAACAAATAAATTGTAGCCACCTTTTGTTTTACATTAATTTGAAAATATTTTTCAAATTTTATAAATGAAAAATGTGAATTATTGTTATCAAGAACATTTCCTTCCAGAATACCTTCCATTTCATTAATAATATCATTGTCTGACTCACTTACATCTTTGGATATCCATTTGCAATGACATTTTAAATAATTTACACTAGATGATTAAGGTTTATATTACAAATTGAAAATATAAATTTCAATTTCAAAATTAAATAATAAACCATAAAAATTATCATTAATTATGATATCAGATTCAAATTTTCATGTTTATAGATATATTCATAATATTTTAAAAAAGTAGAAGTAGCGCGCTAAAAAAATTGATAATTGGGAAAAAAAAATAGCACGCTATTAGCTATCGCTACCAAAAAAGAAAGCGTACAACAACTCTGGAAATTTTATTTAAATTATATTTTATAGATGCCTTTCAACTAAGAAACAATTATTTTTATTGTCTTAATTATTTATTTATGTTTATCTATCGATCAGGGAATATCCTAAATGTCGGCAAATTTATTACAATGGGCTGTCTTAACTACGTATTATGTGGTATAACCAGTTACGATCAGAATTTTAGAAAATTGTCCATCTCCACCTTAGACAATATTTATCAACAACTATTTACTTACGACTCATCGTTCAAACCCAGAGAACAAATATTGTTTTTCCTTAAATTATTAAAAAATACGCTTAATTGGGAGAAAAGGTTACTAATTCATTGTTTAATAATAATATAAAAGAAGAACATTTATTGAGATATGTTTTTAATAAATAGATCCGGCTAAAAATTTCATCGTAAGGTCTACTATATAGTATGATAGGCATATAAAAAATAAAATAAAAACAAATATCAATCTTAATCGAGATTCGTCAAAAGCAATTTGACAGAAATTATAAATGAACAAGATAATGAATTAAAATAACCTTGAATTAGAATATAAATTGAATTGTTTAGCCCAGCCGTAACTTATTAATTCTTTTGGATACAAGAAATTAAAATGATTTATAAATATGCATTCTTATTCTTATATTGATACATTTTAAAAGGTATAAAATATGAATTTAAAATTAAAATGCTATTTATATTTAATTTTTTTTAATTTTAGGGTGCCTCATCTTATAGTTTCATTTTGGATGGAATTCTTAAACATATTGCTCAATCCTGCTCATATATTATTCAAGACAATTTTGAGGATTTTGCTTCAAAGCCCTTATTTGATTACTCGTGATATACCTTCATTCGATAAATTATATTATAGTTGTTTACCACAAGTTTATAATGAAATTTGATTAGATTTTTAAAAATTATTTGAGTTATAAATTTATAAAATAAAGTTTTTTGAAGATCTTATATGATTTTCATTTTACTCATAAAGTTAGGTCAAATTTACAACCATGATTAATTTTTTATTTATTTTATACATAAATTTTGAACATTTTAGCGAAACCATGAGAGACAATTTTTACTTCAAACACTTGAATCCGGTTTACGAGATAATGAAGATTTAAAGCTATTGTTTCGTGCCGATAGATGTTATTTATCGATTTTAATGTCTATGCATAGTTACAATAGCTATCATAATATCATAGTGTTTAAGATATTGGCCAAATGCATCGTGATTGATAAACCCGTTATGCTCAAAAACGCATCATTTCTTAGTTGGATGGTGGACAAATTTGCAGATTTGTACATTAAATATATATCATTAAAACATTTTAAAAAAAGTCTAAGAAATTTTGAAGCTTATAAAATGAGGAATTTTTTAAAAGTTATATAGATATTCAGAGTTAGTAGCAAAATGCATTTTGCAAAAGCTACTTCATTAAGCTAAGCTTGTAGCTTAACACATGTATTTTAAGGCATTTTAAAGGTAGCTTTGAGCTATTATAGTTATAAAAAAAAGATTGTTCACTTTTTTTCATATTTTATTTTCTAATTTAAATTTGCATAATTTTAAATAAATTATTAATAGAAAAAAAATATATAGTTAATTTGCTTTAAGAGCCTCTATTTTATAATGTACAAGAGTTATATGAATGAAAAGGCTCTATTGTTACATAATACATTTATAAATAGATGGACTATAGGATACTCTTCAGAAACAAATGAAAATAAAAAGGTATAAATTTATATGATAAAATATTATTATGTTAGTCAAAAATCTTTAGGACTGGCATTGCTTTTAAAGTGGATATTATAATAATTACATTATATATATCAATTTTTTTTGAGATGTCACCCTAAGCACTTTAAAAATAAAAACTAATGTTTACTTTCCTAGTAGTTAAACTAAGAAAAAGTATAAAATGACAATAATATGACGACCTTTTCCTGTTTGTCATTGAAATGGAAGCAACAGAATTATAAATGATCTCAATCAGCATTATAAATAATATATTAATTATAATAAAGTCATGAAATTCAAGATACACAAGGTATACATGTTTATTTTATTTTTGGAATTATTTAGCTAATAAAGCTATAATAGGTATGATACTGAAACAAAAAACTAAATTTCCCATCCTTTTTGAAAAACTGAATTCTTGCAGGTATAAAAAGGGTGAATTTGATTTTATAGAAAAATATATTCAAATATTATCGCCTCAAACAATACAAGATAGATTACAAAAGTAGAAAGAAGGATATTATGGCGACCGAATTTCAATAATATTTACAGTTCGGTAAAAACTTTTACTTAAAAATGGCTCACTGAAATATTTCTTACGTTTACTTAATGCTGATAATGCAGCATTTTTGGCTACTATTTCCCATCCATATAAACTGAGATGACCATATCTTTGTACAAAATTAAAAGTAGCAAGAATTCTTAATTAAAAAGCCATCTCATTAAATACAAAATCTCTTCTTTTTTTTACCAAAATAAATAATTGACATCTTTATTTTTGTTGATCATCAAAATCAAATAACAAAAAAACTCCCATTATATTGAGTTTCAAATATTTCAATATATTCGAAATTCATCATTCAGAGTTCATATTCTTCATAAATATCCGATAATAAAGGAAATAGTTTTGAATATATTACAATATTATCTTCTTCTCCAGCAGTGGAAATACCTTTTTTTAATAACGGTATTGCTAACTACCCCTCACAGACGGTGTTGGATCTAACTTTTTCAAAAGGTCATTATTAAAGGGATAAATTATATTTTAAAATTATTTTTAAATGTGAATATTCTATTGATATATATATTGGAATAAGGAAATTATTATATCATTTACTAATTGTTATATATGTAGCCTTAAGCTTCTAGCTTAACGCATTGTATAATTTGCAAATGATTTTAAAATGTAGCTTATGAGCATATAATGAAATACATTTTTATGAAAGTATTTTGTAACTTAACGAAATGTATTTAAGTATTTTGCCCAACTCTGCATATCTTATAAACTTTACCCGTTATTAATTTTGTGATAATTTATTAAATATTTATTATATATATAAATAATACTATATTAAATAAGCAATAAAAGAGGTAAAAGAAAATTTATTAATGAGAAGTAAATTTTAAAATTAAATTATTTAATATCCATGCGCAAAGAGTCAATAATGATTTTCACGTGTTCATTTATTTTACAATCTAGCGATGCAAGCAAGATAGAAGGTGAACGCTTGCTAGACTTATTATACAAGTTACTAACTCTTCCCACACAAATCGATAATTATTTTCCATTTTTCCGACACCTCGAGATATCCGATATTAACTTAAATTATTTTAAAAATTGTGTTATAGCGGCCCAACTATTTCATATACATCGAAATATCAGGTTATAAGATTACTTTTTTTTCTAATTTTATAAAAGAATATATTTTTGATTATATGATATATATTATAATAATTTATAATTCTTAGATTACTGCTGTTAAAAACTGTTTTGCATTGACAAGCTTGTATGCCAAACGTTACCTTGGTCTGCAAATAGCCACACTTTTTTAAATATATGATTGAAAAAAAAACTTAAGATTTTATTTTTCAGAGCCCAGTTCAAAATTCTTGGAATTAAGCCCCTGCTTGGCTCGAATTTTTATTGTGAGATCTGAGCCATGGCCCAATTTAATAATTAATCTTTGTCCTAATCCCAGAGAAATTTTTATCATTTATTTGAATAAAAAAGCGATAATATCATTTTATATTTTGAAGCCCAGTTAGATTTTTTAAATAAAATTTAAACCCGGACCCGACTTCGGCCTTATTTGCAGGGCTCTACTCTGATTTATTTTTTTGATGATAAACCTAACCTATTGTACATTTCTATGCAGTAAATTCGGACATCAGATAATGAAATGATCTTATAAAACCGTTTCCTCTAAATAAATCTGTTGGGTTTAAGATTTTTATATAATATTCAAACGTCGATTCTTGTTTTACGAAGCCTTTGAAGAGTAACTTTCAATTTATAATCCAGATTTTTGGAAAAATGTTAAAAGTTTATATTTATGTTGTATATGATCTGGCTATAAAATTTTCTAGTCATACAAAAATTATTTAATTACCAAGATCTAAAGACAAAAATCATTTATAAACGATAGTATTAAAATTAGTTTATTAAAGATACTAGTTTTGTTTTCTGTTGCCACTATTTTAATCATTTCTCCTACTATGTACTTAAAAATAATGAGGAATTTGAGATCGGAATTTTTCCAAATATATTTTCTATGGCCATATATTTTTGACTGATTTTTAGATTTTTACTTTTTATAAATCTGAACTATTTTTTGTTATATTGCTAATAATTCTTCATAGGATGTATTATTGAATCGCAAATACTTGCTAATATTTGTATTATAAAATATTATCTCAACGTGTATTCTCAGATTAATGCAAGCTAGATATTATAACGCACAAGATTTTGTTTTCCCGGGATCGTATTCTAGAGAGCATGTATAGAGCAGTTATATACATTGCGAATATAAGACTAGTTTGCCTGAACTTTTAAGTTACTCTAATTTATATTAATTTTTAGATATATTGAAAAATACCAAAATTTATGACGAAAATAAAATTGTTCGAACATGATGGAATACGATTCTGATTAAATCAGCTGTTTTATAATTAAGAAACGTATTCGATAAATGATTAAGTTATAAAAAATAGCAAAAAATCGGGTAAATGATAGCCCTGAATTTGCCAAATCCCTACGACGACGATATACCCTTCATAGTTCACCGAAAGAATATTTTTATAAAATGAAAAAACTAAATAGATATTTTTCTTGAACTTTTTTGCTTTGATTATTTCTTCCTCTATATTATCAATATTAGTTATCTAAGACAATTTATAATATTTTACAAAAGTAATAAATCTATTTTGTAAAATGGGTTTAACAATTTGACCGAAAATCTTTGAAGATCAGCAAAATTCAAATTTCTTTTAAAAAATATGTGATTTCATTATAAAAGATTTTTTATGCAAATTACAAAAAAATTTACTTATTAAAAATTTTTTACATAAGAGATATGGAATTTTGGGCAAGATTTTATCATAAATCCTGCTTGAACATTTTCAAAAAAAATATTTATTTGATCTTCAGAGATAAGATTTATAATTTTGAAATTAATTATTTATTTTAATTTTAAAGAAATAAAATTAGACTGATATTTAGTAAATTTAATACAAAAAATAGGATTAGATATTTTAATATATTAACCGCAGAACAAACTCGTTTCAAAAATTCGTATATTAGAGCCTAAAATATATCTAGATACAACATTTACCCAACTAGATATTTAAATAACTTTGGTTATATATCGATTAAGGTAACATTTGTCACAAGCTATTTTATAATTGTTTTTCTTGGCATATTATTTATCCTTTTAATATTTTATTTTTATATTTTTACAAGATTATTAAATATCCGCTTATTAGTGATTAGCATCAACTTAGCTATATTCGCCAAATATGTATCTGTTTTGAATAAATATTCGAGCAAATTTATTACTGATATATTATTAAATATATTGGATATGTGTCAAAATTCCTACCACGGGTTTAAATTTGACAATGACACAGAAATCTTGATTGATAATGATAATTGTAATATAAACGAACACCTAAAACCTTTAATTTCAAACCTTACCCACCTTTTGGTATTGTCGAACAAAGATGTTATTGCGAATTCGTTTAAATTAGGCGAAAATGATGAAATTCCATTTTTTTCCCAGGAACGTCAAATAATTTTTGAGATATCCCTCGAATGTTTACAAAAATATTATGATTTACTAATTCAAGTTGATCATTAAATTCATTTGAAAATCATACCACTGTAAATAATTAGAGTAATTTTATTACTTCCTTCATGATTTGATGTGTTTTTATCAAATATTAGATATTTCATTACCATGCCCAAAATTTTTCCAAAAATTTATTAGCGAATAAAGCTTGTCAAAATTTTATATTGTATATATTTAACCTGAGCGTAAAGTTTTATTTTTATCAATGCATTTGTTAAATAGTATTCGGTTTATTTTTCAAAGCAAATATCAGAGACTGCAGAAATCGATTTCTTATGTTAGATATAGATTTGAAAAAATTTTCCATTCCGAACATAACCCGGATTTAATATTAAACATTTTAAGACTCAGCTCTTTTAAATCTGATTATTTTAAATAATTTTATAAATCATTTTATGGAGATATTGAAAATTTAAGAAGCAAATGATAATAATTCATTATTTGATTTTCCAACTGGGTTATTTGATAGAATTTAAATTTATCTAAAAAAATTTGACCAGGGCCCATTTTTTAAAATATCTATGTCCGGGTTCATAATTTTTTATGTTAAGCCCGACTCTCCGGATTTTTAAAACTACTATTTTATGGGCCAGCTTATGAGGCCACAGACTGACGAAAATTCAATATTAGGCGATTAAAATTTGACTACATCCTTTCTTGATGACTGGAGCTCTCGGCATTATAAAAATTATTTCTTTTAAGTGGATAGATGTTATGATTATCTATGTCTAACTAAACCAAATTTAAATGCACTCTTAAAATTGCATGCTAACATTCTAGCAATGAAAATACTCTGTAATATTGGTTCTATTTTACAGTTAACACATGGCATATGGCATCTAGGACCACCCAAAAATAAAAATATATTCAAATAATGCACTTCATTACTAAGGATGAAGCATCTGCAAAAATCAGAGTGAAAACAATTTATTGAGATTGGAAAACATCGTTGATAAAAAGATAATTATGCAAAAGATTATGGACAACTTTTTGAGGGATTTTATTTAAAGATTCAGTGTCTACATAGGTGGGGGGGGGGGGGGGTAGGAGCAGTTTGCTTCCAAATTTTTTTAAGAGGGTAGGCATCCAATGGAGGGTAAAATTTATTGGGATTTAAAAATTAGATTTTTGAATAAAATAGAGCAAAATATATTGGTATAAAAATTTATTTAATAATTGAATTATAGGCCTATTCTGGTATACATCGATTCTAGAACATCGACCTAATTATATATAAAATATTACATACAATCATACATTTAAAATAAAAAGTTTCCCTCCAATCAGAAATTAATCTTTAAAATAAAATTTATATCATTAAAAAGGTTAATATTAGTACAGAGGTGGACTGGCCAGTGAGCCTAGTTGGAAAAAGTCCTGTGGGGCCTTGAGATTTCAAATGGGGGCCTTTAAGAAAGAGAAAAAACTTTTTTTTTAAAAAAATAGGCATAAAATCTAATTTGTAATTATACAAAATAAATTTTTTAAATATTATAAATTCAAAAAATTTTTTAATATAAATATAATTTTCTGGTGGAATTATTAGCATTGTAAATAAGCGCTACTATAAAGGAAATAAAAATTAGATTTAAAGGTAAACCCCCTAATAGTCAAAAAATAAATCATTTCTTTATTTTCATTGGATCTACGTATTATTGTCTTTAAATAAATAGCCTCAGGTAAATATTTAATTTATTTATTGCCATATTTATTGTTTATGTTGTTTATGTATAGTAAATACAGGCGCGTAACCAATGGGGGGGGGATCCCCCCCATCGCAAATTTGACTGTTTTCATAAATATCATTTTAAGCTAATAAAAATTTTACCCACCCCCAATCAAAATTTTACAAATATTTGAATATCAATTTCCCAACATAAAACTTATTTTTTATAAATAAATTTTATTAAAATTTCCTTTCATTAATAAAATGGAAAATTTTTTAGTCAAAGAGATTGAAATCAAATGGTAATTTATTTTATTATTATATTAAATTCAAAATTATTAGTGAGTTAGAAATAATAAGTATTTTTAATAATATTTTAATTATTAATAAATATCTATAATTTTTTAAATATTTTTCATTTTTACTTCCATTTTGTAAAACAGAAGAAATAGAAATACAAAAGTTGAATAAGGCTGAGCATGAAAAAGAGTAATGTGTATCAGAAGCGATATCATTATTGAATTCAATTGATCAATCAGAGTTTATCATTGCTGCTAGTTGCATCAATAAATTATTTTCCTATAGCTCACTACTTTGTAGAAATTTACAAAAACCAAATTTAGATTTGGTTCAGGTTATTGATTTTAGGAAAATATATATGAACAGGTAGATACAATAAGAATGAATGTAGATGAATATTTACATAATATTTATCTAGACGTTGAATCGAAGGCTAAATTTTATGATATAATACTAATTAAACCTCGTCTAGCACCTAGGCAATTATTGAGATTTAAAATAAATATTGGCTCAACTGAAGAATTTTATAAAATATCCATTTTAATCCCATTCTTAGATACTTTTTTATCGCAAATAAAAGTACGGTTTTTAGATTAAAAAAAGTCTTTGGCAATCTTCAAGTTTTATTACCAAAGATCCTTCTTCGTTTTCTAATGCCACTATTGGTAAAATTAAATATTTAGCAAAATTTTGTTCCTAGGATATTGATACAATTTAATCAGTGAATTCGAACTGAGGTATAAATATTTACTGCGTTTAGCTATTTTACCTGAGCATGCTATTTATGCGCTCAATCGGTGTAAAGAAACCTTGGCTCAATTTCCTAATATTTTGAAGTTGTTTTATATTCTTGCATGTTTGCCTATTACAACATGTACGAATGAAAGGACTTTTTCCAACTTGAGAAGGTTGAAAACATATTTACGAAGTACTACTTCCGAATCTCGGCTAAAATGGGTTAGCTCAGTTAAATATCCACAGAGATTTAGTTCCAACAACAAACGAAACTCTTGATGAATTCGCAACATTCCCACTAAAATTAAAAATCACATTATAATTATAGTATTTAATAAAAAATTTTGTATAATATTGTATTTGATGAGAAGTTAAAAAAAACTTGTTTTAATTATTTTCTTGTCAATATTTTTATTTTATACACACTACTATTAGTATTTTCAATAAAAAAATTATATTCTATTTATATTGTATGAGAATTTAAGCTGAGGCTAGTTTTTAAAGCAAATTTTATAAAAAAAAATGTTAAACTTTATTTAAACTTTACAATTAAAAAAACTTTATTAAATATAATATACCTAACTTAAAATAATAAAAAATAGGCTTGTGAAAAGAATCATGATAAACGTGCCAGTATGTAAAAATATCTTTTATTATTATTAACTTTATTATGTCTGTTTCTTTTTCTTTTCTTAAGGTATATATACATTTTCTAAAATATAAATTAGAATATATATAAAAACAAAAAGTAAGATTACAAAAAATAAAAAGTAAGGTTACAAAAAAATAAAAAGTAAAGTTACAAAATTAGATTATAAAAAGTTTGTATGCAAAAAAACAAGTAAAAGTAAGGTTAAAAATTAGACTATAATGTAACATTCTCCCTCTTCAGAAAGCCTTCCCATAAATTCATCTGAGAAGTCATAGTGAGTTTGTTGTCCAAGTAGTTTATCGTTTTAGTAATCAAGTTGTATCACAAATCATCATAACGTTGGCTTGTCCCAATCGTTGGTTTGTTTAAATCGATTTTGAACGTTGGTTTGTTTAAATCGCAAGCTTGATATCCTTATCGTAAGTTGTCTACATTAATCATAGCTTGCTTGGTAGTACTCAGTTGTTATTATTATCATTTTTCAAAATTGTTATTATCATCAGTAAGTTGCGAATAATAAGAAATAATAATTCATGATATTGGATATAAGAATAAACGACGAATGATAAATCAACAAGATTGTTATATAATATTTTCAGCGTTTTAATTTTTTGCGTTTTATTATAAGCGTTTTAATATTTAATTTACTTTATGCAATTTAATATTTATTTAATATTTTAAGTTATGTAGTCTTTTAAATAAACAGGTTTTTGTTTAATTCGCACAGGTCTAGAAATAGGTGTTATATCATTATTATCAGTAATTTTTATATTTTTGTCCACACTTCCCTCCTTAAAAGAATCCTTAGAGTCATAGTTAATAATTGTGTTAAAACAGTTTCTAATTCTTATTTGATCTAAATGTCTCCTCAAAATACCTTTCTCAGTCTTAATTTGGAACATCATGTCACTTTCTTTATGTGTGATCATGCCTTTGCACCATTTATCATCACCTTGTACTTTATACCAAACAAAATCTCCTACATTAAAAGTTCTATTACGTGGTAAAGTAACGTTTATCTTATTCTCCTTCTCCTCCAACGGTTTTAATAAGTCCCATTTAATTCTAATACAATTAAACATTCTCTGAGAAGGTGTAACACCTGTAGTATCATTACGCGTCTTTCTGTAATTAAATAATTTGCCAAGTGCAATATCTAGGTCAATTTTAATATTCCTTTTCATATGTGTTTTGAACGTTCTCACCATGCGTTCTACCTGGCCATTGGATTGCTGGTGATACCCAGACGTGAGCACATGTTTAATACCAAAATTGTTGCACAATTTTTCAAAATCGTTACTCGTAAATTTAGTGCCGTTATCAGTAACTATAGTTTCAGGTATTCCATATAGCGAAATAGTTTTAAAGATTTCTTTTAAAGTCACATCAGTCGTAATATTTTTAACAGGAATAATAATTGGAAATTTGCTGTAGGCATCGACTATTATCAACCAATTTTTTGTGAAGAACGGACCCGCATAATCAATATGTATCCTTTCAAACGGTTTGGTTGCCGAAACCCATGGTTTTTGTATCTTTATAGGATTATCGTGATATATGTTACAATCGTCACAACATTTCACTTCCATTACTATATCATTATTTATACCAGGCCACCACATGTAATCTTTGGCTAAGGATTTTATTTTTCCTGCTCCCAATGACCTTCATGTAATGACTGTAGTATATTTTTTCTCATAGAAGACGGAGTTATGATTCTGTTGCTTTTGTAAAGACAATCCTTAATTATACTTA